TAGCTGTGTGACCCTGGACAAGTCACTTAACCCCATTGCCTAGCCAAAAAAAAAAAAAAAACCCACAGAATATGTCTCTCTTCAGTAATGCATTATTGAGCATCCCCACAACTAATTGATCTTGCTTAGTGTCTATTGACATGTAAATTACTTTTGTTGTACAATAGATTCCTTTAATATTTGTATTCCCCACACCAAGGCACATAGCAAACACTTAAAAATGCTTTTTGTTTGTTCCAGCTTTTGAGGTTGTTATGTTGATTGATTGATTCTCAAATCACCATCAAGATTCTTTGTCCATTCCCTCTCATTCATTTTTCCTCTTATGTGATTGTTCTTATACAATTTGTTCTTTGTTCTTCTGGCTCTGATTTTTATGTTTATTTTTTGCTTTGCATTATTTCATAATGTTCACTCCAGATTTCCTTATATTTCTCTATTTGTTAGTCTTATTTGCACTACAGTATTCCATTACATTAATGTACCACAATTTATTTGACCATTTCTCTATTATTGGATATTTCAGCTGCCTCTAGTATTTTGCAATTACAAATAATGCTGTTGTTAAAATATTTGTACATAAACTCTATTTTGTTGTTCTTCTTAACACTTTCATGGTATATCCCCAGTGATAAAATTATCAGGTCAAAGAGGAATTATTTTTGTAACATTTACTACACACTGCCAGATGGCTTTAGAAAAAGATGCCATGAGTTTGCAATTCCACCAGAAATGAACCCTGTTAGTGTTTATTTTCATTGTTATTAATTTTTTTTAATTTCATGGGTATGATGTGGTACCTCAAAGTTGTTTAAGTTTGTATCTCCTTGGAGCAGCCAGGTGGTGCAGTGGTTAGAGCTCTGGCCTTGGAGTCAGGAGGACCTGAGTTCAAATCCAACCTCAGACACATAACACTTACTAGCTGTGTGACCCTGGGCAAGTCACTTAACCCCATTGTCTCATCAAAAAAAAATTAAATTTGTATCTCCTTATTAGTAATGTTGGGCATTCCTCCAAATAATTGACAATTTGTTTCTTCCTTTGAAAAATATTTGTACAAATCTTTTGATCATTTATCCATTATGAACTGGGAGTTCCCTTTGTGAGTTTTTAAAATATTTTATATATTTTAGAAATTAAATTTTATATGTCATATTTGCCATGAATATCCTTATACACAATTTAGTCAAACAAAACCTCTCCTACTCCCCGTGCCATATTTAACAGATGAGGAACTTGATGCCCAGAGAAAGAAAGCAATTTGCCCAAGGTCACATTGCTACTTAGTTGTATACCAGGGACTAGACCACAGAAATCATTTCACTATGTTATCGAAATACTAAATATCTAAATCTCTAAAATATCTAAATACTCTGTTTCCTATTCTGTTAATTTTGTAAATATGCATACATTTCATTTAAATTTTCAGTTTTATATAAATGGGTGTAAAATTCCTGATAATTCCTTTTATTTCTTCTTCATTGTTTGTTTTCACCAAACTTTTCTCCTTTTAAATAAATGGCACTATACTATCATCAACAGTGACTGAAGGGATAGGTTGCTGGGACTTAAAAGGGAGATTTGCAAAAGAACTAAAACTAGTCAATGCTGAAAGCCCTTTAATTTGAGACTTTAAGGGGGAAAGTCCAAAGGTTTAACTGGTGATGCTCAAGGGAACATACAGAGGGAAGGTAGGAGAAACAAGGGAAGGATATTAGGGTATCATCAATCTCCTTAACAGGGGAAGCAGATGGTACCTCCAGAACTAGGCATTAGCCAACAGCTGCAAAGTGAGGTAGGGAAGGAAGAAAAACAGCCAGAGATGTTGCTAGAGAGCCTTAGGCGTATGAAGATGTTCAGGCCAAGGCAGGATGAAGAAGACCCAAAAGTATTGTGATTAGCTGCCCGTAGAACTTGGCACATCATTACTCCGAGTTCTCCAGAGTTCAATAAATGAGAACTCCTAGGTGCATCTTCCATTCATGCATTTGGACAGTTCAGAGGTGCTGAAGAGGGCCAGGTCATTTAAAGGAAGGCTAAGGGTTGTCTAAGTCTGTAGTTCTAAATGTGGTGCAGTGATTCACTCAAAGCCTAAGGGTTAAAAAAACAACAACAACAACAGATATCTCTTTTAGTGGGAAAAAACAAAACCATATCCAAATAGCCCCAGGTAAAAGCAGTCTTCAAGGTGGCTAAAAGTTGATCAGGAAAGTAAAAGCTGCCAGAAAGGAAGTTAAAATAAGTTGTCAGGAACATTACCAGGGGCGTCAGGAGCCCCTTATGAAGTCCTGAATGCCACTTTTATATTCATCAATGCAAAGGGCCCACAGGTGAATCCCTAATCAAGCTACCTAAAGGCAAAGTTAACTCCAACTGCACCTGGTCTACACCTAGCTCCTTTGCTCACAACAGCCCCAGTCGGCATTATGGAGAGGTGAAATGTTAACTCATACCTCCCTGGTTCCACCAGTATCTTAGCCCACAACACTCTCTTACCTCTGTATGTTTTTAGGCTTTTCACCATGTCACATCCAGGGAAGTTCCAATCAGTCCTGGCTTGGGGGAGGCAGAAGTTTGTAGTCCAGAAGATTCCTTAAAAGGGAAGAGATGCCAGGGAAGACAAAGGGACAAGGGGGAACAGAAAGCATAGATAGAAGTAACAAACCTTACAAAAACTAAGCCTGAAAAAAAGAGTTTTTTTCCCACCATGGACTACAAGTAATTGACCAGAAAACGAAATTATTTAAAAAGCATTTGCCTGAGCTAGAAGGTAAAAAATTAGAAAATAAATAATGTGAATGGTAATTGTAATCTATTTTAGTTCTGGAAACTGAACCTTAATAGTCACTGGGGTCTCAGTGAAGCTAAGTCTTGGGGAGCAAATTCTATGAAATAAACCTCACCTGTCTTATAGTCAAAGGTTGCAATAATTATAAAATAAGTTTAAATAATGCAAACATTTGACTGTGCTTGGTTTTCCCTTCTTGCTGTCCTGTTCTCATCCCTTCCCAGCATGTTTTATGTACCTTAATTAGAGAACTACCCTGGTAATTCTCCCAGGTTGTTAACAGGTGTTTTTAGGGGCTTAGTGCCCTAGCTGTTCAAGCTCTCAATTTTGTGAGTAAAAATCATTCATAAAGGTACTAACAAGATTAGCTTTTACTATGAAATATTTACTTCAAACATATAGCACAAACATACAAACATTCCTCCACAACACCTGTGGGACATATTTCCCCCTCCACCCCCCCCATACCATCTCTTTCTGTGACCAGGAAAGGGGTATTAAGTTGACAATTTAGCTCAATTCCTATATAGCATTATTCCCACCAAGTTCCCAGTTAAAAGGCTCCTGGGCTTGTATTCCTGGACTCTGAATTCTCAGGTTTTCTCTGCTGAGCTAATTGCAACATCCAGTCCACATTGTTCAAGCTTCCAGGTCCAGGATCCTGCTCCCTGTAACTCAAACTAAAATGGACAAACAGAACTGAGCAAAACCACAAAGTAGTTTTTCAGAGACACAGATCCTAAGGGGAAAGGAAAGGTAACCCTTCCCACACTCAGTTCAGTGTATAATGTCCATGCTGTGAATGAGTAAGTCCTTCACCTCTGGATGCCACTGGAAAGAGAGAGTAAGGGTAGCTTTAAAGATGCATCCGGTTCTGGCTACACAGCAAGTGGAAAGAGGCTGTTCCCATCCACATGGTAGGCAAATGCAGGATGCCTTCTCCCAGAAGCAAGTCCCTAGCATCTCCCACATGGGTGCCTCCATCTTAGGTAACCTGGACATGTGTCAAAGCCCTGTTAATATATGTATTTTTTATTATTATACCCAGGATTATTATTATTTCCCTTGAAGTCCCATCACAAACAGAACCTCTTCTCTCTTTTCTCTCTATACTTTGGGTTTCATCCAGGATGGTTATCTTCCTCATTTTTCTTCTCAGAATTCTCAACTCCAAATTTAAACGTTACTGCTTTTGTGAACTCTGAGTGAGGTTGAGATAGATATTTCTGGCATCCTTAGTCCTTCTGAAGTTGTTCACGAACTAAAAAGCAAAGGAAACAACAGATGACCTTTACTCTGTCCCCTATACTTAGAATGGGCTTCCTCCTCACCTGTGCTTCTTGGGATCCTTTGTCTCCTTAAAAGCTCAGCTTATATGAAGGCTCTCCGGATTCTCCCAGTTACCAGTGCTTCACAACTAAATTATCTGCTATTTACTTTGTCTACAATGTACATTGTTTTTCTGTGTTCCTGTTGTTTGTCCCATAGAATATAAGCTTTTGAGAGAAAAGAACTATTTTCCCCTTTCAGCTCCCAGCACCCAGGATAGTGCCTGACACAGATTAGGTGCCCAGTAAATGCTTAAAATTGATTTGCATTCTCTCCAAAGCTGGTAGTAAGAAGGAAGAGGAGAATAGGGCTTCCTTAGTCTAACAATTTAAAATTGGAGGATTTTTATGTTTAAAATTAGTCTATCACTATATCCAAGCCTGACTTTCTTCAAATTGTCTGGCCTCCCTTTCACTTCTCTCACTGCCTCTCAATACCAGAGCTCTGATGGAGTGTGTTCAGTGCCAGTAATAGGAAAACCAAGTGAGCAGAACAAATCAGGTAGAAGCATTTTATTCAAAAAGTTTATTACACTTGTTCCCCTTTCCAGTTGGGCTCTTTATGGAACACTTGAAAGAATTTGCACATTTGCCTCTTTCTTAGAACATGTATCTGTTATCTTTGGGTAACTTCATTAACATCACATTAACAAATTAAAGATATTGATGTGCACATGTTATTTTCAGACATACAATGGTTCAATCACCCATAAAAGCAATACAATAATAAATGTTTTTAATACTGCAACAAAAATCCTACATGTCAGAATCCACCTGAGGGTCAATGTCACTCTCTAGTTGTTAGATCTGCTGTGCAAAGCTACACTGTGACTATTTTCTATGCAGCAATGGATGCTTAATTCTGAGATTTTTGATGCTTTCAGGGACTATTATATAACCATGGTGAAGTGGGCAACGAGTACCAAAGTAGCAGTGAACTGGCTGAACCGAGCCCAGAATGTATCTATCCTCACACTCTGCGATGCCACCACTGGGGTTTGCACAAAGGTAATGACACTGCTTCAGCATTGATCACTTGCCTTGGGCATCTAATCAAGTCCAAACCTTATCAGAACTATACTTAGAGTCATTCTGACCTAGGCATTCAAATGAATCAATTGGTCAGAGTCTTTTCAAAAGGTAGCACCAGCAGAAGGGTCTCAACTGGTTATCCCACCTTGTAAATGGGCTTAAGAGTTGTATATGCTCATATGGTTTACATCATAGAAATTTGCAATCAGAATAGTTCTTGGAACCAGGCTATCACTGCAGAAGTCTACACTGAAGAACCTTTTTATCCATGACAGTCACCAGTGAGTCTAAGAAATGACCATAGGCACTATTAGGCAGATTTAGAGGAGAAGGAAAAAGGGTACGTGAAGAAGAGAAATTAAAGCAGGAGCTGTCCATGGTGGGGAATTAATAAAGTAGATTAAGTAAGCGATACAGGCATCCTGGGTTGATCATCCCTATTATATATCATTGTACAAGTATGTTAGCTCTCAAATTAACTGTAAGATCATTAGTAAAAGTTCCCAGGAAGAATAATACATTGGACCATTGATGGTTAGTAGTGAGAAGGCTTTTATTATAAAGATTTGTGGGCTGAATTGGTAAAAATCAGCAGCCCTGATCTAACCACTGGAACAGCTCTCAGAAATGGTTAGCACTGAAGGAAACCCTGGTCAACAGCTTATATTAGCTATCACTCCTGGGTTCTGCTTCCTAACTCCAAGAGGATTATTAGCCTTGACAGCCAGATTGAGTGGAAACCACTGGCAAGATACAACTCTCTTACTCCAAATGTCCCACCACTTACTAAATACCCTTGAGCTTAGTACCCTTAAACTTAGAGGGTGGAAATGTCTGAAAAGTGGTTATTTGCCAAGGATTCAGGAAGTGCTGACCACAGGGAAGATAAGGGAGATATTAGGGAACTAAGGTAAGGTGACATAAGATTATTTTCCTTATTAGGAGAGGATTCTAAGTTGTTTCTAAGAAAAAAAAATAAGTTGGGAAAAGAAAATTGAGTCAGTCTGTTTCACAAGTGGTACCCAATGACAGAATCCCACGTGGGATAGAGCACCCCATAGGCAATTGCGTAACAACCATTCATCTCACCTTGTCATGTTTTTCCCCAAGCCGTTTGGGTTTCTTGGCCTTCTGTTCTTATCTTTGGGCCAAAAATAAGATAAATACGATCTTCCAGACACCTGAGTCTGTCCTTCATATTACATTTCCGGATTTAGGAAAAAGAATCAGGTCAGAAGAATCAACTTTAGATGTAGTCCCCCTTGTTACTGGAAGGCCTCCACTGGGGTTTCTAATAGTCAAATTAGTGTCAGGAAAAAAACCCTTGAGCTTTGTTAATGATGTTGCCTCATGCCCTAGTAGGTCCATGTATTTGGATATCTGATATATTTGTCTAGATGTTTTTTCAGGTTATCTTCTAAAATATGTCCTCTCCCTACCCCTAAAGGTATAAGAAGTTGGGACCTCCAAGTAGAAATGCAGGGACACATAAAGTAGAGATTGGGCTGAAGGCTCCCCACAGGCTATCTTGTTCATTACTAAAATGACAACATTTTACAGTTGCCTTAAAGGAAAAGGAATGGATTTCTGAGCATGCCTGCAAAATGATGCATGTCAGATGGTGAAAGGCCACTTCTCTGGAAGCAGCGGGTTTCTCTTTGTTGCTAGGGTAGGAGACAGACCTCCCAGTACAATGATACATGTATTTAGCCCAGAGCCACAAAAGAAGAGAAAGAGGCTGCTCTGGGCTTACCTGCTCACCTTGCATGGCTCAGCAGTTCTTTTGTCCTTGTGCAGCCACTATGTAGATGCAGGCAAATTGCTTTCTGCCTTGAAAAGCACAGATACAATACATGTAAAAATCCCTTTTCTAATTCTCTTATTTTATTTCAGAAACATGAGGATGAAAGTGAAGCTTGGCTGCACAGACAGGTAACTATCTTTGTACTATTCACTATTTTTACTACAGAAACCAGATATCAAGAGCTGTACAACCCCAGAGACTGATATTGCCTGAGCAACTGTTATAAGAGACCAAAGCCATCATTATCATGGGTGTAGAGTTAGAAGGGGCCTTCAAGCTTGTCTAGTCCAATCCCCTCATTTTACAGGTGAGGAAAGTTAGGCTCAGATAGGTTGTGACTTGACTAAGTTCACAAAGGTCATAAGCAACAGAGCCAAGAGCCCAGGCTCTCTGACCAAATGTTGGTTGAGCTCTAATGAATTGAAGTGACTTGCTCAAGGTCTTAGGAATATTGTCTGAGCTGGGTCTAATGCATTGCACTGATAGAGCTATAGAAACTTACCAAATGTGGGCCAAAATAGCAGAAAATTTCTGAAGTATGAAGGCTCTCTGCAACTTTTTCATGGTTGAGATTTCTTTTCTGTCCCCTGTACATCAGACTCTTCCATAGTCCATGTGTCATATCCCTCAAAAAGTTATAGAGAGATGGATAGATGGAAAGATGGATAGACGAGGAAGCTGTTCTTTGAGTACCCCTTCATCTGTCCGTCTCTAACTCAGAAATAACTTGAGACAACAGTGTAAACTAATAGAGATCATAGGCCTGAGATGTTTGGGAAATAAAGTTTAACCTAAAACAAATAAAATCCTGGGGGAAATAAGGTCATTTACTTCTTTGGGGTTTTTTTCCATCTAAGATCATTCTGTGAACTTGATTAGGTCATATCAGCCAACTCATAGATCAGTATATAATCTTCAAGGACCTCTGATTGCATCAGTGTTCATATTCCCTTGACTGATGCAGATAGATTCCCTTCTGTACCTTAGTAGACAGCTTAATGAGTCGTAGCTAAAAAAAATTCTCTCCTTGTGGATTATCCTACAGTGATGAGCTACTCTTAACCCTGCTAATCTGAGCTGACAAGATGCGGAGACTATCGTTAAGTTTGAATTCCCAGCCTTCCTGTTCATTTAACAAACATTTATTAAACATTTGCTAGATGACATTATTATCTCCATTTTACAGATGAGGGAACTGAGGCAAACAGAAGTTAAGTGACTTGCCCAGGGTCATACAGCTAAGTTACCTAAAGTCAGATTTGCACTCAGGTCTTCCTGATTCCTGGCTGAGTCCTCTCTCTACTACCCCACCTAGCTTTCTAGGTAGAGATAAAAGATGTACACATGTAAGTAAAACAAGGATATTTTAAAAGTACTCACAACTTGGGAGGGTTGGGGCAAAGGGCAGGGAGGAAGGGAAAAGGGAAGAAAGGAAGTAAGCATTACTGGCACAAAGGACTCTGCTAAGTGTTTAGCAAATATCTCATTCAATCATCACACAACAACCCTGAGAGGTAGGTGCTATTATTAGCCCCATTTTACAATTGAGGCAACTGAGGCATACAGAGGTTAAATAACTTGTCAAGGATCACACAGCTAGGAAATATGTGAGGCTACATTTGACATGCAGTCTCCTTGATTCCAGACTTAGCACTCCACACTGCACCACCTAGCTGCTTAGGTGGATTATAACATGTATACATGTAAGTACATACAAGGTAATTTAAAAAGCACTGATAGCTGGGAGGGAGGCAGATCACGGAAGACTTGACTAAAGAGTTAGAAACTAGCTGATCCTTGAAGGAAGATAAGGATTTCAAAAAGCAGAAATGATGAGAGAGTACATTCTAGGCACAGAGGGAGAACTTACAAGAAAGAACACTTAGAGTTAGTAGATAGATTATCAGGACCGGAAATAGCTAAGAGTCTAGTTTAACTGAAACATAGAGTGTGTGAAGGTGAGTAATGTGAAGGAGGTTGGGGCCAAATTGTGACAGGCATTAAACACCAACCTGACAGATTTCCCTTTTATTTTAGAGGCAATAGTTAGAAGAATCTTGAAAAAGGAAGCTGTTTGGTCAGACTGGTGGCTTAGGAAAACTATTTTGACAGCTGTGTGGAGGATAGATTGGAGAAAAAGAGTAGCAAGGTCTCTCACCTGACCATGATACCACTCTAGTACAGGCAAGATCTCATCTCCTCATGCCTGGGCTATTGCAATAACCTGCTTGTGGGCCTCCCCTGCCTTAAGTCTTTCCCTACTCCAGGCCATCTTCCATTCACCTGTCAAAATAATCTTCCTAAAATATAGGTCTGACCATACGACCTTTCCCCCAACTCCTGCCCCAGTCAGTAAACTCCAGTGGCTCCCAATTATGTCTAGGATCAAATATAAAATCCTCCATTTGGCTTTCAAAGCCCTTCCTAATCTCACTCTTTTCTGCCTTTCTGATTTTCTTACATCTTACTCCTCTTCATATATTATGCAATTTGGTGACATTAGCCTCCTTGTGTTCTTCACATAGACACTTAATTTCCAGATTCTGTACCTTTCTACTGGCTGCCCCAATGCCTTAAATTCTCTTCATCCTTCTGACTTCCTTCAAATCTCAACTAAAGTCTCACCTTATTTGAGAAGCCTTTTCTAGGCCTCCTTAATCTTAGTGTCTTTGCTCTGAGATAATCTCAGTTTTATCACCTATATCTATGTGTGTATACACACATATATACATCTACACATATGTATATACATCTCTACACATCTATATACATATATGTATGTAGCCAATTCTTGCCTACTTATTTGCATGTTGCCTACCCATTAGACTGAGCCACTTGAGAATAAGGAATTTTTTTGCCCTGTTTTTATCTCCAGCACTTAACATAGTCCCTAAGCACACTCACTGACTGGTTAGAAGTAGAGAGAACTTGTCAGTAGCCTATTGCAATAGTCTAGGCAAAAGGTAATGAGGGTCTTGATGTGCAATATGTGTGTGTGTGTGTGTGTGTGTGTGTGTGTGTGTGTAGAGAAAAGGAGATACATGAGTGTGATATCTTGGAATTAGAGTCAGCACCACTTGGCAACTGAATGCATATGGTGGGGTGAGGGAGAGGGAACATCTAGGATACTTCCATATTTAAGAATCTGAGTCACTGAGAGAATGTTATTACTCTTAATAATGGGGTGGAGGGGGAGTTTCCACCCTTGTCACATTGTTACTGAAATACTATGATCAAGCACTCGGGGCTCAGTAGTTTTCTTTAGACATGGGGATGTGTAGATCATTCTAAACACTGGCACAAAGGGATTATGGGAGCCATAGAAATGTCCTCTGGGTTGGTTTGTTTGGGTGGGTTTGTGTGTGTGTGTGTGTGTGTGTGTGTGTGTGTGTGTGTGTTTTAATAGAATAGATCCTCTTCTCCATGAGCTTTCTCCCTCTTCAAAGAATCTTTTTTTAGTGAACTTATCTTATCTATCTCCCATGCCTCAACACCTGCCCCACCCTGGGAAAAAAATCCATAAATTCCTTAGGGGCAAGAGCTGTTTCATTTTTTCCTTTGTATCCTCAGTGCCTCTCAGATCATGCTATTTAGGCCACTACCTGTTTTACCTGTAGGTAGAACTGTATCTCTAACTCCGAAGACACCCTGCTTATGTTCAAGCTCTTCTTTTCATTCACTCAATATTTGTTCATCAATCAACAAACATTTATTAGATGTTTTTTGTTTTTAGAACACTTCTTGGCACTGGGAAAGAAACAGTATAAGTAAGGCATGATTCCTACTTACTCTCCACCTCATTCAATGTTATTTTCATGCAATTTCACCCCAACTTTTGCTATTTGCAAAAGGCAATTAATTAGACAGTCAATAGGCATTTATTACTCTATGCTAGTAACTCCCATCTTTGGAGGCAGCAGGTGTAGTAATGGATAAAGACCCAGCCTTGAACCTGGCAAGACCTGGGTTCAAGTTCTGTCTATGACACATACTAGCTGGATTATTCTGGTCAAATTGCTTAACTTCTTAATGTTCTCAGCAACTCTCTAAAACTATGAGTTGCAGAGGAAGTACTGAGGTCCATTAGAAGAGGAAGATCCCCACCTAGCAATTCCATATACATACCACTAGAATGACAGGTTCAGTTACTCTCTCTTACTATGTACCCTGCAGGCTCTCTACCACATATTGGGAATACAAGGAAAGAATGGAAACAGCCCCTTCCCTAGAAGAGCTTACATTGTAATGGGTGATAAAGGTACATAAACGGGTATATGTCAGAGAAAGAATTGAAACATGATAACGTTAGAGAAGGAAAACTAGCAGCTGAAAGGTACTTGGTTTGTCCCTTCTTCACAGTGAACCCATTTGTTTTAGAGGTGAGGACGCTGAGACCAGGTGATATTAGGTGGCTTGCTAGCTAATGACAACTATAATGTTAAGACTCCCAGACCTAAGTTTTCAGATTGCTATTTACATTGGGAAGCCTTATGATAGACACTCCGGCCAGCAGACTAGAACCTACTCATATTTCTGGAAGGTTTATCTGGCTGATCTCCAAATCCATTATGGTAGGCTTCCAAAAGGGAGGGGAAGGAACACATCTGGTTGACACTTATATATCCTTATCAATAGGAAAGGAAGCAAGATGAGCAGCCATCCGGAAACTCATCAGAAACTTGCACATCAGCCATTCACACTGCAGTCACCCTCCCCTTTTCCATCCCCACCAGCAATAATAAGTCTTAAGAAAGATTAAAAGAATTTCCTCATCAGATAAAGGTTGGAGAGCTCAGCCTTAATGCTATTCTGCTTTAAAACAAGCTCAATTTTTTTGTCATTTGCCATATACTGCAAGACCTGTCATTTTGTTTTAGAGTTTCATTTTTTTTCTTTTTTGCCAGAAATTTTAACTCTTTAGAAAAAAACTTTGTTATTGTTATTTGTTTGCTTCCATTTTTGAGATTAGTTCTCCTTTCTCACCTAGGTTGAAAGTGCAGCACCACTCATTGGTGGGGAACATACATACCTACATACTTACATACATACATACATAAAGTCTAACCTTTTGCACCAGCCTGCTTAGAAACAAGTTGTTATTTCTGACTTTGTGCCTGACTTTGTACAAAATCACTAGCAAGTTACTGACAAAAATAAGTTGGTCCAATTTTTTTTGGTTCATAAGATCTTAGATAAGATATGCAGAGAATCTTATCAATCATCTAGTTCAATTCCTTCATTTTACAAATGAGAAAAACTGAGGCCCATGGAAGCAAGACACTTTTAAATAAAGAGCAAAGTTAAGTTTTGAACCCAGGTCTTCTGACTCCAAATTCAGCATTTTTTCTATTACACCTTACTTAATCTGGTATATTTACATTACAGATGTAAACTTATTCTCCATCAAAATAAGATTAACCTATGGTTATAAAAAATACTTCCTGAATCACTTATTTACTACATTTTATGGGGAAGATGGTTTTTTGTGCCCAAAATCCAATTTTTTTCCCATGACACTAAAGGGATATTGCCATTCCCAACTCCTAACTGGAAAATAAAAATAGGTTTTAAATGCCAAATTAATTGTTGATTTTTTCCATCCCCTCACATTTCAATTCTATATTTCCAATTTAAAAATATAACAATAAGTGTTTGCAGATTAGAGTTTTCAGTTTGTCTTCTGTGTTCATGAAAATTAAATGCCATTTTCATCACGTTACCTTTTGTCTTTGGCACATCATCGTATATGCACATGTTTATTTGCTGCAGAGAAATGAATTGGCTGCTAGCCAGCTAAGATTGGTTTTTACCACATGGTCTCATTCCTGTTCACTCAGACCTCATAGAATCAGATGTTCAACTAATTGGTGTTCACCAATGAGAACTTTTAAAGTCAGGTTTCACAGAAGCTAAGAGGTTGCTTTCACCAAGCAAAGCGAACAAATCAACAGGATGCTGAGAAATGGGTGACTAATTATTTTGGGAACCATGCAATCAATGTTGGAGGTTACCCCACTTCAAGCATTCACTTTGAATTTGCCCTATTACCTGGGGAGAAAAAACAAACAAACAAACATGAGTGCTGAGCCTTACGAAAAAAGAAGATACAGGAAAGTATGACTCAACAAGTCTTTTTTTTTTAATACCAAGATTCTTTTTCCTCAGGATAAACAGAGGGATGGTGAGGTCAATTGATCCCTTGTGTCCTTGACCAATGTTTTGCATCTGACAGCATTTAAGAAAATATCTTTCTTTTTCCCCCTTTTTCTTGGTTTTGAGTATATTTCAAGGTGGGAAAACTAAGCATTTTATAGACAGAGATGGCAGTGACCATATAAGTTATCTAGGCTAACCCACCCTCTTTTTACAAATGAACAAACTGAGGCCCAGAGACTTGACTAAGATGATACACCTTGTTTGTGAAGTAGCCATCATTAGCAGCCTCCTTACTGCCAGGTCTGCCTTGTCACAGAGAATGGGAAAAACAGAAAATAGGCAGTGTGGTGCATCAGAAAGAACACCGAATTTGAAATCAGAGGACCTAGGTCCAAATTCCAACTCTGCTACTCTTGGTGACCTTGGTTAAGTCATTTAATTATTCTGGGCTTTAGTTTCCTCAATGGTTAAAAAAAAAAAAAGGAAGCGAGAGAGAGGTTTGGATTAGGTCGCTCCTAATGTCCTTCAGAATTCTAAATCTGTTATCCTGTGATAAAGTTGATATTTAGACCAATCTAGGCGTGTGATTTTCCCAGAACAGTACAACTGCACAGACTTTGCAACATACTATAGGATATGATGGGCAATTTTAAGGACTGAAGGGATGGCACCATGCTTTGTAAGGGATCAAGCTAATGCTATCTCTGGTGAGCCCAGCAAACACAATATGATTATTCCTTTTTCTTTATAAATAGCTTCTAAATTGAGGAATAAAGCTAGTTTACATTCATATAATGTCTTAGGTTTGCAAACTTATATATGTATGTGTATGTGGTATATACATATATACATATACATAAAGTTATATATAATATGTATATATATATATTTTTTTTTACAAAGTTGTATGTGTGTTCTGGGCAGCTAAGTGGCACAATAGGTTGAGTGCTAGTCCTGAAGTCTGGAGGACTCATTTTCCTGAGTTCAAATCTGGCCTTAGACTAGCTATGTGACCCAGGGCAAGTTGCTTAACCCTGTTTGCCTCAGTTTCCTCATCTGTAAAATGAGCTGGAGAAGGATAGGTCACACCACTCCATTTGCCAAGAAAATCCCAAATGGGGTCATGAAGAGTTGGACACAACTGAAAAATGACTCAACAGACACAACCACAAATTTTATATTATGTCATTTAACCTTCACATCAGCCCTGGGATGTAGGTATTATTATTATCTTCATTTTGCAGATGTGAAGCTGGGTCTCAGAAAGCATAGGTGACTTGCCTGGGATTATGTCACATTAAGAGGCTGGTCACATTTGAACTCAGGTCTTCCTGACTCCAAGTCCAGTGCTTTATCTCCTGTACCATGCTGCTTCCACAAGGCCTTTACAGACCTAGCTTGTACTGTATCACATGATGTTTCTGTCACCACTCACTCCCCCCCCCACCCAAAGTAAACTGTGCAGTAACGACAGTAAAGATCACAGCTCTGTAGTTAGAGGACTTCATTCACATACCCATTCTGACTCTTACTATCTGCATGAGTGCAAGACGCTTAACCACCCTGCATCCCAGTTTCTTCATTTGTAAAATGAAGGAGCTGGAGAAGATAGTCTGGGAGATATATTACAACTCTAGGTCTATAATTCTGGGATCCTATGATTTATGAATGGTCCTAACACACATTAAAAGCAAAGACCTCAGTGTTTGTTCTTCCTGCGCGTTAGGCCATCCTTAAAGCTGGTCCCATCTCTCATTCAAGATATTACTAAACATGAATCTTGTTAGAATTAGGGGGATGGGGGGAGGGGGGGCATTTTTTCCCTCCCTCAACTGTTTCAAAGTAAAATGTGCTGCCTTGTTCATCTGGGTATTTGCCTCCTACAGAATGAAGAGCCCATCTTCTCCAAAGATGGCCGAAAGTTTTTCTTTGTCAGAGCCATTCCCCAGGGAGGACGAGGAAAATTCTACCATATTGGCATGGCTTCTTCCCAGGTAACAACACTCTGTTATTGGAATGCTGTTTTTCTGGAGCAGCATCTGCTCCTAATGACCAGAAATGAGATGGGAGCCCTGAATCCCTTAGTCCCCTTGGGAAATGCCATCATTTCATAGGTTCCTTAGAAGAAGACAGCCCAAGGTCTTTGTACTGGACATCCCATATCTAAAAGGGATATTGAGTATAAGAGTTTCCCTTAAAATGTTATCATGTATCAAGTTCATGTAAAATTCTAGAATAATTTGCAAAAATAATAGAACTGAAATTTTTATTTTCTAAAAAATTTCATTTAGTGAGTTCTGTGCCTAATTTGACAAACTCATAAACTTGCATCTATTTCATATTTCTTGAGGTCATATATGTTTTACTGCCCCTTCTTCACCTCTTAGGGTCATCTCCTACCAATGCTCCCATCCACCCTTCTGTCAAGTCCCTAAAGGTTTGTCAGGTTGTTTGTTTTTTTCTTTTGTTTTGTTTTATTTTGGTTTTCCTGACTCACCTCTCCCTTTTGAAGCAGCTTTAAGATTTACAAAGCACTTTACAAGCATTATCTCAGTTGATCCTCCTAACAGTCCTATGAGGTAGGTACCTGAGGCCTTGTTATTCCCATTTTACAGATGGAGAAACAAAGATTCTAAAAGGATAAATGACTTGCCCAAGGTCACATAGCTAATAATTATCACCAGTAGGATTCATACCCAAATCTCTCTTAACTTCAAATCCAGTGACTCTTCCACCCCCCACTTGTACCTCCTGTGCAAGATTCACTTGCTGGTTCTCTGAGGTCTACTCACATCCACTCTCTCTCTATCATACTTTATTATCAATTTAAACCAAACACAGGTTGGTTTGAGTTTTTTCCCTTGAGGGGAGGGAGGGGTTATGTTCAGTTCTTTGAAACTCTCCATGCCTGGTGCCTGCAGGTGATGATACAATAGATGGAGCAGCATTGAGGGAACTGCAGGATAGAGAGACAGACAGATAGGCAGACAGACAGAAAATAGATGATAAATAGATGGATGATAGAGACAGAGAGAGGCATAAGTAGATATTTATATAGCCATAATCAAACATATGTAATATAACATACATAAAATATACCTATAATATGATATGACATATATTCATATATATAAGTATACAATATATTACACATATATATTACACATATATAATATATGTATTTTTATATATTTATATACAATATATATTATATATTTTAATATACATTTTATATATTATATATTATATGTATGATATATATAATGTGTATTGATATGCATGCATGTGTACTTATATATCTGTTACATGTGTGGTATGTGTATATTGTTCACATATACATGTATATGTGTATACATATTGGGAGAGAGTCACATGTATTTTTTTTAAGGAGAACTCTAGGAAACTCAGTACTAATTGTAAAAATATTGTCATTGCACAAAATCTTTCTGGAATTTCTTTTTGGGAATTATTTCTCCACGCTAGTGGAAAATTTCCTTAAATAGTCCAATTGGCATCAATGTTTTGCTCTTTCTAGGTGGATTTGGGTTTTTTAGAGCCACATCAGTTACATAAGGTTGGTACTAAAATCAGCTGTTCTTACTCCAAAACAAAGCATGCCCCTAAAATGATAGCACTGTTTTCTGCATGAATCAAAGTCTTGCTCAACAAGAAGACAGCTTCCTTGGAGGCATTTCAGACATAGTTCAAGTTATGGCAGCAATGTTTTGGTTAATGTCTAATGTTGTGACTTCTCTGAAAGGGAGAATATTCCTAGGGCATATAGGCTGACTGAGGCAACATGGCAGAGTGGAAAAACCACTGGATTTGGAATCCAAGGAGCTTGGCTTGAGTCCTGATTCAGTTACTTCCTAACTGCAGCTTCAAGCTAGTCAGTTATTTAAACTCTCTGAACTTACCCCGGCTTTAAAACCCTTGTCCCTCATCTTTAAAATAAGCATGACAATATCTCTCATAGTACTGTTATGAAGATAAACTGAGGTGGCATTTTAAAAAGCTTTATCAACTGCAAAGCCCTATATACATGAGACATTTATAGTTATTCCACAATACTTGTTGCAAAATCCATCACATTTTTTAGTCAGTCAATGATCATTTATTAAGCACTTAATATGTGCTGGGCAGTATGCTAAAAATACAAACAGAGGCAAAAATATTATTTCTGCCTTCAAGAAGTTCACATTCAAATGGGAAAGACAACATGTAAACAGTAGATATATATAAGATATATTCAGGATGGATAGACAGTGATCTCAGAGGGAAGGCACAGGGTGGGAGGTGAGGAGGAAGACACACTAGGAAAAGCCTCTTACGCAAGGTTGGATTTGCTCTGTCTTGCAATAAGCCAGGAGGTGTCCTTATATAGTCCTCTCCCATCCTTCCCTCAGCAACTCAAGACGTTTGTTATCTCATTTACTCTTATATTGACCGTGGCAGTTCCTTAACTGATGTCCTCTGTAAACTTTCATCTCTGGACTTACCAAATTCCTAATCAACATGTATTTATTGAGTACCTGTTATGTTCCCAGACACGTGATATGCATTGGAGAGGCAAGAGAATTCTAAGAAGCAGTCCCTGCCCTTCAGGAACTCATGCACTCTTTGGGGGGAGAGAAGAGATTCGTATTGAATGATTACATATCAGCATGTAATAGTATATAATTCACTGCTCTGATTGTGGCAAAGAGAGATCACTATGAACTAGAGTATTTGAGGAAAGCTAATACAGGATGTACCATGCGAGTTAAACCTTGGGGACTGGGCAAGATTGTGGTAAATATCAAAGAAGGAGAAAAACATTCAAGGTGAGGGAACAGTATGAACGAGAATCAAACATCCCAGTTTCAAAGAAGGTTGCCAAATCACCTTGCCCCTTGCCTTTTTGCTTTTCATATAGTCCAAGACTATTAGCGGCAGCTAGGTGGTGCCATGGATAAAGCACCTGGCCTGGAGCCATTAAGAAAGACCTAAGTTCAAATATGGCCTCACATTTACTAACTGTGTGACCCTGGGCAAATCATTTAACCCTGTTTGCCTTAGTTTCCTCATCTGTAAAATGAGCTGGAGAAGGCAATGACAAACTACTCTAGTATCCTTGCCAAGAAAACCCCAAATGGGATCACAAAGAGTTGGACACACCCGAAAGTGACTCAACAACAACAACTTATAGCCAGAATATGTCATCTTGTCCACCTCCCTTATTTTATAAAACGAGAAGACCAGGGCCTCCCAATCATTTGCCTAGAAAAGATTGGAACCCAGGTCTCTCTGTTCTTTTTGCTAGACTGTACTGTCTCTCTTATTTCCTCTACTAAGTTGTAAGCTCCATGTAAACCATTTCTTAGTCTTTTCTGTTTTCCCACAATGTCTACTTAGCATACTGCCCAGAAGATTAAAAAGCCCTAAGTAAATATTTGTCCATTGTGAAATGTTCCCTTCCCCAAGTTCCCTTGCCCCTCTCAAGAATCAGTCCCAAATTGCCTTCCTTGTTTCTTTCTTTTAAAAACAATTCCTTTTTACTATGAACTTAATCATCAACAAAAAACATTATAATATAAAAAAAATTTCATGTGCAACTGAATTTGCTATTTTTCGAATCTATATTAAACAATGTAGTAACACAATTGCCCAATTCATATTCCCTTCTGAACTTTTTGTTTTCTTCTGTCATTTTTAATGTTGTATTGATTCTTTTGTCTTTCATTTTCCCCTGCCTGATTTCAATGCTTATTCTAACCCCTGACACACACTCATTTGTGTTTTCTCTCTCTCTCTCTCTCCTTGCCTCCTTTTCCCCTTCCCTCTCTTCATCCCTTTTCCCCTCCCCATCTCTACCTCCCTCCCTCTGCCTGTGCTTTTCTTTCTGTGCTTCTCTCACCCTCTTTTCCACCTTCTTCCTGACTTCCACTCCAGAAAGCCCCAAGGTCTTTGTCTTTGCCCCTTCACCTAATTTAATTATCGCCAGCACCGAGCCTGATTCCCAAAGCCCCTGTCTTCCAGAACAGCTTGCCTATAACTCTGCACCTCATTGCCTCTACAGCCCACTTCAAATCACTGTGGAAAACATCCTTTCTGTCAAGCTTGTCTCTTCTCTCTCCTTCTGTGGTGATTTATGATTGCA